TTGATTCTCAGTCCATTTGTGTAAGGAATGATATGAGAATTATAGAAATAATTTAAATGGTATAAGCTTTGTAGTAACTAAAAAAGGATTTATTGTCTCTATCAAAATTAATATATACATTTGCAGAGCATCCAGATGGAGAAGCTGTCTCTTGTAATTCTCTGAAGCAGAAGAACAGTTTCAATAAATTACCAACACTTTAAGCTCTCTGGACCACTGGTTTAGTTTCATTTCAATCAGATACAAATCTTAGACTTACATGTAGCCCTAACATCACCATCAACTACCTTAATTTTATATCTGTTTGTAGTATACCAGATGCTTTTAGTAGTTAGCATAACTACTAAAATTTACTAACTGGAATGTGAGTTCCATTTTTGTCTGCTTTGTTCACTGATGTACCTTGGTGTCTAGAACAGCTCAGTAATATTTTTAAACAGGTGAATTTACTCTAAATACACACCAAACCAAACTATTAACCAAAAAAAATTTTGTTCTGCTATCTCAATATGAGAATCCTGTGTCTCCTGCTATCTATTATACAATGCTGTAACACTGATATTGTCACATAAAATTAGTCATTTTAAGTTGATCAAGAGACAACAAACACACTGCTGCATCTGTTTAGGCTGATAGCAGTTTCTGGAGTTCTAAGCCTAATCTCTCGCCTTAGTCTTATATGTCTAAAGGTAGCTCTAATATAATGACCAGTAAATGATTCTGTGAAGTGTTAGATGAATATATGTTTTAATATTGGAGGCCAACAATAACACCTATAAAACTCACAATGTCACTTCACTATTTAAAGTTCTTCAGTAGGTCTCCCAGTGCCACTTATCTAGTAGGAGTCAGCCTTTGAAATTAGAATTATTGAATCTGAATCCTTCTTTGCCACTTACTAGTTGTGTGACCTTGAGAAGTTACTTAATCTCCCCGAACTTCAGTTTGCTTATTTGTAAAAGAGGGGCAGCAATATCTCAGAAGGTTGTTTTAAGGATTAAATTAGATAATGCATGCAAAGCATCAAGTAAGCAACTTAAGGCTTATTAATTGTTCTAGGCAGAGGAGGATGTTCAAAGTCCTTATTATGCTAAATAAGCTCTTAAACTTCTATATTTGCTTTGCCACACTAATGACCACACCTACCTGGTCTACATGAACATGGGCTAATGACCACATCTACCTGGTCTATATCAACATGCCAGACAGATTCCTAGCAACTGCCAGACAACTTTCTCTATTGTTATGATTTTCTCTGCCAGGGAGAACTTTTGTTCCAGAGTTTGAGGTTGTATCTTGGACAAATCATTGATAATCAGGTGTTCTCCACCAATTTTTTTTTTTTTTTGAGATGGAGTCTCACTCTGTTGCCTAGGCTGGAGTGCAGTGGTGCGATCTCCGCTCATTGCAATCTCCGCCTCCTGAGTTGAAGTGATTCTCCTGCCTCAGCCTCCCGAGCAGCTGGGATTACAGGCATGTGCCACCACATGTAGAGATGGGGAGAGACGGGGTTTCACCATGTTGGCCAGACTGGTCTCGAACTCTTGACCTCATGTGATCCACCTACCTTGGCCTCCCAAAGTGCTGGGATTATAGGCATGAGTCACTGTGCCCAGCCAAAGTATACATTTTCTAAGAGCAGGCCTCATCTACGCATATCCCAAGGAACCTACAACAGTTTCTGGCACAAGGAGTCTGGCAGGAGGCTCAACAGTATTAGCTGTAATGAATGTCTAATCCACTTGGTGTTTTTTAAACTTCTCTCTAGAAATAATATAAAGAGGCAAGAGAAAATTTCCTCAGAAATATACCCCAAAACAACCAAGTTCAAAAATAAAATTTCCTAAATTTGTGAGGTTTTGTGTTTTTTCCCCTTAAAATTCATGGAGAATTTTGTATTATATTCCAGGACAGATGTGCATTTGTTTTAACCTAGAATACCAACCACCTCCCTACTAAGTTAATTATTACTAGAGGAACAGGCCTAAGACCCATGCATATAGGAATGGAGGTAAGGTGCTGGTAGCATGAGAGAGATGATGCATAACATGTATAAGTCATTAGATGAAGAAGAAGTACCTGTGCCCTAATAATGAAAAATATGCAGCTGAAATTAGCAGGAGAAACTCGTGGAAATGTCTGTTCCCCAAAGAAAGAATTTGGATAGAATAGAACAAGAGGAAGAAAAGATTTTAAGTAAACTCCAGAATTCACAAAGAAAATATTCTCAAAATATGTATATAAACTGAGTTTTAGAGAATAAGTGTCAGACTTTATTGAGGCAATACAAAGATAAAGGCGTTTTGGCAATACCTAAATGTAAAGAGAAACTACATTTACTGATGTCGGTAACAGGAACACAGATATTTGTCTTATGTTAAGACAGAACATTATCTGAAACAGATCCCCTATCCATTTAACTTCTTTGCAGGGTTCTCTAGAACTTTTTCATATTCTTTTCCTCCTTTGTTTTAAAAGATATCAGCACACTGCTTCTGAGACTCAGTTTAGTATAGTTCCAAAGAGCCAAAAAATTTCTGATACACAGAAAGGTTTTCATCCGAAATTTTCTATTTGTAAAGGTTATGAAAATGTCTCTAGGCTCCAAAGCAACACTAGAAAAATTGATTTTACTATATTACTAATCTACAAGAAGAAAAAACCCCACTAATTCAGACTTTTGATATGCTTTTAAAAAGTCAACTTACTACCTTTTAAAATTAAAGTTCTTCAGATTAAATAACCTATAGGAGAAATATCTTCAAGTATATTCTAATTCAAGGGACGACAAACTTCTTCAGTAAAGGGCCAGAAGGTAAACATTTTAGGCTTTGCAGGCTAAGAGGCAAAACCCAGGATATAATATGTAGGTCTCTGTTGCAATGAATTTTCATAGTCTTGAAATGTTACTGTTATTTGATTTTGTTTTCTCCAACCATTTTACAAATGTAAAACCATCCTTAGCTCATGGGACACCCAAAAACAGATGGCAGGCCAGATATGGCCATGGCCATAGTTTGCCAACCCCTATTCTAGTCTAAGATAGACCTGAAAAGGTAGTAACTCTACTGATATTACTAAAAAATTCAATCCTATTTTCAATGAAAAATACACATAAAAATAAATGGAAATGGGATATAAAACTATACACACAGTGTGAATCTAGTATTTGGAGAAAAAGTATGTGTGTGTTTATGTATGTGTCCCTGTACATACATGCATGCAAATGTATCTATTTACATATATGGCATTAAAAAACCCCCAAAGGAACTATATCAAAATGTTAACAATAAAATTAGCCAGGTGTGATGGCACCTGTAGTCCTGGCTACTTGGGAGGCTGAGGTGGGAGGATGGCTTGAGCCCAGGATTTTGAGGCTGTGGTGAGTCATGGACTGTGCCACTGCCCTCTGGCCTGGGTGGCAGAGTGAGAACCTGTCTCAAAATAAATAAATAAATAAATAAAAACAAAACAAAATATTAACAATGGTATAAATGACTTTACTTTCTCTTTTATAAATGTTTTTATTGCCCAAATCTCCTATAATAAATATATAATATCTTTTAAAATAGAAAAATGTTAAATGGCAACAACAAAATACCCCGAATTTTTATCTGAATTTTTTATGATTTAAAATACAGTCATGTGTGCCTGTAGTCCCACCTACTTGGGAGGCTGAGGCAGGAGATCACTTGAGCCCAGGCATTCAAGACCAGTGTGGGCAATACGGCAAGACGCCATCTCTTAAAAAAAAAAAAAAAATGCAGTCATGCTTTGTTTAACGAAGGGAATATGTTCTGAGAAATGTACTGTTACGTGATTTTGTCATTGTGTGAACATCCTAGAGTGTGCTTAACACAAACCTAAATGGTATAGCCTACTACACACCTAGGATTGCTCCTGAGCTACAAAATTGTACACCATGTTACTGTACTGAATACTATTGGCAATTGTATCACAAATGGTATTTGTGTCTCTAAACACAGAAAAGGTACAGTAAATGCTCTATTAGTTTCTGCCAGGGGACAAAAAAGGGGTACAACAAAAACACTACATAAATATTTAAAATGGTACACCTGTATAGGGTACTTACCATGAATGAAGCTTGAAGGACCGGAATTGCTCTGGGTGAGTCAGAGAGTGTGAGTGGTGAGTGAATGTAGAGGCCTAGGACATTACTGTACACTACTGTAGACTTTATAAACACTATACACTTAGGCTGCACTAAACTGATTTTCTTTCTTCAACAATACATTAACCTTAGTTTACTGTAACCTTTTACTTTATAAACTTTTTAATTTTTAAAACTTTACTCTTTTGTAGTAACAGCATAAAATACATAATACAGCTGTATAAAAATATTTTACTTATAACCTATAAGTTTTTTTCTATTTTTAAATTAACATTTTTTTAACTTTTTAATTAAAAACAAAGACACAAATACACAGTTAACCTGAGCATACACAGGGTCAAGATAATCAATATCACTGTCTTCTGCCTCTACATTTTGTCCCACTGGAAGGTCTTTAGGGACAATAAACACATGAAGCTGTCATCTTTCTATAACAATACCTTCTTCTACAATACCTCCTGAAGGACCTGTGTGAGGCTCTTTTATAGTTAACTGTTTTAAATTAGTGGAAGGGGTATACTCAAAAATAACAGTAAAAAGTATAGTAAATACACAAACTAGTGACACAGTTGTTTATTACCATTATCAAGTATTAATGTATGTACATAACTACATGCTATACTTTTACATGACTAGCAGTGCAGTGAGTCTGCTTGCACCAGCATCACCACAAACTTCAGTAAATGCATTTTACTGAAGTAAAAACTTCAGTAAATGTGCCACAATGTTACAACAAGCTACCAGGTCACCAGGCAATAGAAATTTTTCAGCTCCATTATAATCTTAGGGGACCACCATCATATGCACAGCCCACTGTTGACCAAAAGATTGTTGTGTGGTGCTTGACTGTACTGATATTCACACATACCTCTGAGGGTTCGCATCTGGTTCTGCTTGAGTACAGAGCTTAAATAGTGAGGTGATAAAGAACCACTGAAAAACAAACAGAAAAGCAAATGTGCTTATAAAAATTTTTATTTCACTTTTTTCCCCCTAATTTTTGACAGGTTCTCTCTCAGTCTGTTGCCCAGGCTGGAGTGCAGTGGCGTGATTTTAGCTCACTGAAGCCTTGACTTTCTGGGCTCAGGTGATCCTCCCACCTTAGCTGCCTGAGTAGCTGGGACCACAAGCATGCACCACCATGTCTGGCTAATTTTTGTATTTTTTTTGGTAGAGAAAGGGTTTTACCATGTTGTGCAAACTGTCTCAAACTCCTGGGCTCAAGCAGTCTACCTGCCTTGGCCTCCTACAGTGCTGGGATTACAGGCGTGAGCCACTCACACCCAACTATTTCACTTGTTATACAACTTAGTCACAAATACAGCTAATTTGTACTATAAAAAACAAACTATGACCTTGTTTTCTTTGCTAATACTACTCAATTTAGAAAGTCTGACAAAGCAGAAAGAGCATAGGAGCCAAAATTAAATCACAACTATTTGGATGTTCTTAGGCAAAATAATTAATCTCTTAGTTTTTTCATCTGTAAAACAGGAATAATTAAATCTCTCACGCAGGCTGTTGTGATAATTAAATAAGAATAATGCATTTAAAATGCCTGGAACAATAGATAATACATGATAGTTACTGTTTGGTTTTGTATTGGATGCTTAAGTTTGATATAATACTAATATAGGTATTACCACAGAAATAAAAGCATTTACCAAAACACATGGTTAAGGAACACTTGGTACTGAAAGCAAACAGGTATGTTCCTGATTTTATCAATAAATATAAAATTAAACTTTCTATATTCATGGGAAGACATCAACAGTTCTTTTTTAAATCCAGGAATTAAAATATTTTTGGGAAAAACTACTTCACTTCTTTGGAATTTATGATAGTATGAAAAAATCATTTGTTAACTAACTTAAAAGTTTATTTCCTATTCACAGTTTTACATATACTGTATCTCACTCTTTTCCTCAGACTTACAAATTCTTATATGCAAGGCTACACAAAAGCATGTCAGATGGAACCGTTATTTTGCCAAACATCACAAAGGGGAAAATGTTTCATTTTATATTAGGGGTTTAAAGTCAACGGTTACATACAACCCTTATGTTGTCGTTTTTATCTTTTTTTTTTGAGACAGAGTCTCGTTCTGTTGCCTAGGTTGGAGTACAGTGGCACCATCTCGGCTCACTACAACCTCTGCCTCCTGGGTTCAAGCCAATTCTCCTGCCTCAGCCTCCCGAGTAGCTGGGATTACAGGCGCGTGCCACCATATCCAGCTGATTTTTGTATTTTTAGTAGAGACAGGGTTTCACCATGTTGGCCAGGCTGGTCTCAAACTCCCAATCTCAGGTGATCCACTGGCCTCGGCCTACCAAAGTGCTGGGATTATAGGCTTGAGCCACCTCGCCCAACCACAGTTTTTATCTTGTTTTAAAGCCACAAGATCACTTTTAACATTTAAACTTATAATTAAGGCTAAAAGAAACATGAAAATGCAATATATCAAAGACAGCAAAATATATTTGTGATGGTTTAGAAAAAATGGTGCCAACTCTTTCATATAATCTTTTTTTTTTTTTTGAGATGGGGTCTCAGTCTGTCACCCAGGCTGCAGTACAGTGGCACCATCTTGGCTCACTGCAACCTCTGCCTCCCAGGCTTAAACGATCCTCAGACCTCACCCTCCTGAGTAGCTGGGACCACAGGTGTGCACTACCCACGCCCAGCTAATTTTTGTATTTTTGGTAGAGACAGGGTTTCGCCATGTTGCCCAGGCTTAATCTTCAGTTAAAGAAAAAACCAACACAGCTAAGTAAAACACATAGGTGAACATCAATAGAACTTACCATTAGTTTCTAAATTATTATTTAGAATGCCTCATAATAACCAAAATTAATTAATAAAGATATCAATTTCCAAATGAGAATATAAAATCTGGTAACTTCTTTTCTAGGTTTCATTTCATAAAGATAAATCCTCAGTTATTCTTTTGATAATGATCCATCTAATCTACAAATATGGTAAAGAAGCTTAAAATCTCAGTGAGTGAATATATTACTGATATTTCAACTTTAGCCTTCCCAGCTATTTACTGTATTTCAGCTACAACCACTCCTCTGCAAGTTATCTAATGATACTTTAATAATTCAAATTAACCACTATATGAAATGTTGATGATTGCTGCAGCTGGGAGTTCATTATAACTTTCTCTCTACTTTTGTGTATGTTTAAAAATTTCCATTTATTACTTTATTAAAAATCTTTTTAAATTTTTCAAAAAACAAGTTAGCCATTATAAACTACCCTTAAAAGTATTTTAACCAAATCTGGGATTTTCAATTCAAATGAAGGTAGATAATAAATTGTAGAAGACTCTAAAGTCTGCTTTAGAAAAAGGAAACAAAAATCAGATTTAAGAAGGTCAGGGTATTTTCAGATTTAACTTAAAATGAGGAAGCTAGAAGATCAATAGGGGTTACTGGGATTGAAAACAAAGCCAAGGAAAATTATAAGCAAATACAGTACAATTATATTTACCAGAAAAAATAAAAACAAAGTTCAAAGCATTATTTTATTTGCCAAACATTTAAAAATTTTAGACTTGAACATACTTTTCAAATATTATAAGTACTATGAAAAAAAATCCTAAAATAGAAAAAGAAACCTACATATGTATATAAAATGCTATGACAAACTTAATCATCTTATTAAAAAATTTAAAATATATTTTTAATTTCCTTCATTTTTAGGTTAGCATTAGTATTGCAGACAATTAAAATAATCTGATCTGTTTGTAGTTGAAATTATATTACAACTTTCTTTAGGGTTTACTTATAACATATTCAGTACTGACTATATTTCCCAGAGTGTATGTTCTCAACTAACCAATTTCCTGTTTTCTAGAAATACAAATTAGACCATAAGGAAAACTAACTTAGGCTAATGTCTTATCCATAAAGACTTCTTAAAAAAAAAAAGAAAATAAAATAAACAACAGGTCAAGGATGGTGGCTCATGCCTGTAATCCCAGCACTTTGGGAGGCAGAGGTGGGAGATCACTTGAGGTCAGGAGTTGGAGCCTAGCTAGGTCAACATGGTGAAACCCCGTCTCTACTAAGATTAGCTGGGAGTGGTGGTGCGTGCCTTTAGTCCCAGCTAATAGGGAGGCCAAGGCGGGAGGATCACCTGAACCTGGGAGACAGAGGTTAAAGTGAGCTGAGATCTCGCTACTGCACTCTAGCCTAGGTGACAGAGTAAGACTTGGTCTCACAAAACAACAAAAACAAAAACAGAAACAAAAACTAAAAACTAAATAAAACATAAATACTTCTTTATACAATAAAAAAACAGAAACAAAATACCCTAGACCTTTAAGTTTCTCCGTCTCACACAATGAAATCCTATAAATTACCACTGACAGTTATATGGAAGATCCTTACTTTTGCGAAGATGCTGAAGAAAAAGGTTGCTTCTTCAGTGCCTGGATAAGATTGGGTTTATATTCCGGATCAACACACCATAAGGAACCTTTTCCATTAACCTAGAATAAAATGCACAAGAATAACTAGGAACTTTTATACATAAACAGTCAGTGTCTAAATGTTTTAAATAAACGTGCAGGGGGAAATAATCTCTAGTACCTTTTGAGTATGAAACTAAGGTTGAAGAGAGCTTGCTATGTGTGCCCTGTAGCGATTAAAAGTCACCTTCCTCTAACTCACAAGATTAGTGAGGTTCAAATGTTATTACTTTCTGGTTTTATATTATGCCTTTTCTACTTCAAAAACTCTTCCTTAAAATTTAAATTACCTTTACGACTACATTAACAATGATTTAGATAACAACAAAATTTACTTGTTTCTCATTCTCACACTCCTTTTTGCGTGTATGAAATCTCCTATGACATAAGCTTTTATGATTGCTATTAAGATTTAATGTGATGATCTCCAGAGTCCTTCCATTTCCCACAGTCTTTTTCAAGGTAATATTAGTCCATTACTGAGGCTCTTTTATCTCTGAATATTGTGTCATAATTTTTATAGCTGAATGGCAAAATGAAAGAACACTGTTATATAGGTTCAAAAACCGAGGTCCTGATCCCTACTTATTGACTGGCTATGTGATATTGGGCAAATCATTTAATTTTTGAGAGTCAGACTTCTCATTTACATTTTACCCGTAAAGTAAAACAACAATGCAATCCACTTCACTGAATTGTAATGAGATTCAAATAAGAGGATTTATCCGCAAGAGACACATAGCTGCAAAATAGGTGAATATTAAGGGGCCATTCTGAAAGTGACATACGTAAGGGTTTGCGGCATATTGGTTGAATAATGGTATATTCCTATTCCTTTACTTTCCACAGAGGAGGGAATTTTGAAAAAAATCAACAATAAGAAAAAATCAATTAGTTCTGAAAAAAAGGCAAAAGTTAGATGGTAAAAAAACAAGGGATAAAATAAATTTAGGAGAGAGTAAAACCTTTTGCCTGTGGAAAGGTGTAGCAATTGAGTGTAAGGCAGTTTTTTACCATGCTGGCAATGTCTATAAACAGAAAAACCATGGCTGTCATACCACACTGTCATGAAGAAAGAGAAAAACCATGGCTGTCATACCACACTGTCGTAAGGAAAGAAACACACCAGATTATCAGCAGAAACTTTTCTCTGGTGTTTAGCAGCAAGATATCACATTAACTATACTGAACAAGTATTTGACATTTTCTTTTTTTTTCTTTTTCAAGAAAAGACAAGTTTTACAAATGTATTTTTGGATTAAATGAAACTTCACTTAGCTATATGTTCAGTCACCTGGACCAAATGATGAATGTGTTTTGATGACAGGGAAAATGTTAGCACCAGGCCAGGTGTGGTGGCTAACACTGTAATCCTAGCACTTTGGGAAGCCGGTGCAGATGATTGCTTGTGCTCAGGAGTTCAAGACCAGCATAAGCAACATGGCAAAACTCTGTCTCTACAAAAATAGAAAAATTAGCCTGGTATGGTGGTGTGTGCCTATAGTCTCAGCTATTCAGGAGGCTGAGGCCAGTCTGGGTGACAGAGGGAAACAGTGTCTTTAAAAAAAAAAAAAAAAAGAATTAAAAAGTTAGCATCTATAACACCTTTTGTTAGCACCTATAACACCTTTTGCCCCAAAGCCAATTCAGTTTCATATACAAAAGATACGCATGCGTTACTTTTCATACACAGACCAAGACAATTATTTCAATAATGCTAGCCATGCTCTACCTTGGAATTCCTGAGATTACACTCCTAGAAATTGTTTAGTTCAAGTCTACTTTACAAATTCTACTGTGAGGGGACTGCAAATTGTTTTGATCACAGTAGAGTTGCTATTTCCTTGAAATAGCAAATTGGAAAAACTGGTATTGAAAACGCGCAGTTTCAGGGCAGTTAAGTATCTTGAGTATGGTCTCAAGTAACAGTCTGGTTTATGTTACCATGGCAGCACTTCCTTTCACTGGGTCTGTTCATGAACTATCATGAACAAGAGATAAAACTCTGTATTTGCTAATCTACATTTTAGAGTCCACAGCAAAAAGAAACTTATTTTTAATTAATTTTCCACTTAAAACCTTTGCTCCTATATTACTGAGCTTAGATGAAAGAATACAAATAATAAAAGTTTTAGAAGCACTGTTTAAAACTAAATTTGCCTGTAACAAAATGGTCTTCTGTGCAACGGAAACAGGAAATGAGCATTCTCTCATTTTATTATTTCGCATTTTAGAACTCTAAGACTTCTGAACTTACTTAGTAGAGAACTGCTAAAGGTTTTGAAGAAATTTTGAATATACTAAAAGGTGAACTTTAAAAAGACTTAACAGAAGTTGTAAAGACTAGATTGGGAGAAGAGGCAACGTTCATTATATCTGTGTATTTTAATAGAGTTGCTCACCTTGTCTAATACCAAAAAGAAGGCAAAATGGCAAGGCCTAGACAAAATTATAAAGTGGTAATGATTTTCAGTGGCTTTTAGAACCTCTGAGTTAAAAATAATTAACTGATTAAAATTTTACCACACTAGGAAAAAATTTAATTCCATGTTTCCCAGCTAAAATCTCACAGTAATAATGTTTAAGTTGGGCTTTATAAAAATTTAGAAGAGTACATACAAGACTTGGATGTTAACTTTTTTTTTTTTTTTTTTTGAGACAGAGTCTTGCTCTGTCACCCAGGCTGGGGTGCAGTGGCACGATCTCAGCTCACTGCAACCTCCGCCTCCCAGGTTCAGGCAATTCTCTTGCCTCAGCCTCCCAAGTAACTGGGATTACAGGTGCGCATCACCATTCCTGGCTAATTTTTGTATATTTAGTAGAGATGGGGTTTCACCATGTTGGCCAGGCTGATCTCGAACTCCTGATCTCAAGTGATCCACCTGCCTCAGCCTCTCAAAGTGTTGGGATTACAGGTGTGAGCCACCACGACTGGCCAATTTTTATTTTTATTTTTATTTATTTTTTAAATTTGAGACAGAGTCTTGCTCTGTCATCCAGGCTGGAATGCAGTGGCACTATCTTGGCTCACTGCAACCTCTGCCTTCAGGTTCAAGTGATTCTCATGTCTCAGCCTCCCAGAGAGCTGGAATTACAGGTGTACGTGCCACTGTGCCCAGCCAGATGTTAACATTTAAAACATAAAGCCCCAACCAAAGCAAGCTGAACCAAAACAAAAGACAACCATATGTAACTTTAAGAAATTTAAAATCCAGAGACCAATAAATACCAAACCAGTATTATTAGATTGTCTTTTCAGAGGAGTAAAAATGGTACTGATGATAGGGAGAAAAAAAACTAATCAGCAGCTGTATCAGCTGGCTGAGTATCATTACCACTTCATAGTTTGATCTAGACCTTGCCACTCTACCTTCGATTGGGATTATCATCTCTAGATAACAGCCATTCATCAGAAAAGTGTTGTCAAGCTTGCCAAATTCAATTCTAACATTTAATGCAACTAAGTATAATTTATTTGACTTCCACAGATTGGAAGAAAAATACTGTCATTCTGTCACTGACCCAAGAAATGTTTCACCAAAAAAAAAAAAAAAAAAATCCACATGCATTCCCAAATCTACTTGAATGTATCTCTTTCTGTCTAAAACTCAGACATTTAGGCAAAATAGTTAACTGATTTCTTTGAAGACGATTTACAAGTTCCTTCCCCCCGACCCTGACTTGTGGTGACAGCTTGCCAATTTTTATGCCAATATATTACCATTTCTATATTTATCCCTTTTTTTAAATTATAAGATGATTTCTCTCCTTTTCTTTATCAAATTCTACCTATACTCTGGACTGTATCCTTTCCCATTCTCTAGCTCTTACTTCCTTAATTTCTTCCTTTCTCTGAAAATTCAAAACACTCAGGTTAATTACATTAAAAATGTACACATTTAAAAATTATGGATGCAACCAATTCCCTTTTGAGTACTAACACAAATCATACCATTGGACATATGGTTTCGTAAATTTTACTAAAAATAATACCACTGTGAATATTTTCACACACATCTTCTTGTGTGCAAGTATGAATGCTACTCTAGAGGAGAAATCAGAATATGATCTGCTAGATCAAAGGAGAGCCCATTTCTAATTCTAGTAACTACTGCCAGGGTGCCCTCAAGAAAGGCCATATTAACATACTCCTATCAATGGTGTGAAAGTATCAATATTTACTCATGTCCCCATCTGATTTGATATTATCAAATATTTAAAATTTTTGAATTCTGATAAAAAAGTATTTTTTTGTTCTTTTAATTTGTATGTCCCTTACACATATTACTAGTAAGATAAACATCTTTATTTACGTTTATTGCCTATTTGTTTCCTCCTCTGTGAACTGCCTATTCATATACTTGCCCATTTTTCTACTAGATTTTCATTTTCTTATTGAATTATGAGTTTCTTCTATGTAATGGTATACTGTTGTTACTAAACATCGCTTCTCAACTCCACATTTAATGATATGATGTTGATAGCTTGAAATTGGCCATGATGGAAATATTATACTATGGAAATCTGCAAAAGCTAAACAGCCCATCCCTAGACAGTTGTTAAAACATTTATCAGCACAGCACTTTTTTTCTTTTTTGAGACGGAGTCTCACTCTGTTGCCAGGCTGGAGCGCAGTGGCGCGGTCTCGGCTCACTGCAATCTCTGCCTCCTGGGTTCAAGCGATTCTCCTGCTGCAGTCTCCCAAGTAGCTGGGATTACAGGCACGCACCACCACGCCCGGATAACTTTTGTATTTTTAATACAGATGGGGTTTCACCATGTTGGCCAGGCTGGACTTGACCTCCTGACCTCGTGATCCACCCGCCTCGGCCTCCAAAAGTGCTGGGATTACAGGCGTGAGTCACTGCGCCCGACCAGCACAGCACTTACTATGTATTTTGAATCCTAATCCTTTGGCTGCTACTTTTTCAACAACTTAGCCAATCATTTTCAAGTGTTCTGCAATATTTGACACCCTTGGCTATTCACACTTAAGCTTAGCTTCCCTGGCTTCATTACAC